AGAAATGCTTTTCCTCTGTATCTGATCCATCAGATACGTTGTCCATGTTCCTCTGATTCATCAGGAACACTTTCCGGTTTCGTCTGTTACCGGATCTTTCTACCCTTGGGCGTGATTCACGCGTGAACAAGGCGTGGTGTGGGTGTTTCCCCTTGAATACTGGAATGTATGCATCATACATTTCGCGGTCCGTGCTCCCACGTGTATATTTTGCCACCACACCAACAACATGCTGCTGCAACAGGCAAACAGTCAGGTTCTATGCTGACCTCACGTGATGTCTGCGTCACGACTTGCCCACGCAGGACCGTTTCTGTCGTACGTGGCCTGTCACAAGTGAGGGATTGGTTAGTTTTGTACAACAGTCATCAATCCAGCACCACAAACCCACAGTCAAGTGGTGCCACCCACAGTTTTCGGGAGCCATGCGCGCTTCGTCAACTGGGATGTGCGGTCGGGCGTTGGGGTTTCGGGGGGTCCTTCTTCTCCCTTGCTCTCTTGCAAACGCCCCACCCAGACATTTTCACCGCGATTACACTAATTCTCTCCCCTTTCACGTCAGTCCGTCTTCTCGCCATGGCGGACGATGCGGAAGCTGCTGAATCACCCACCCCACGGCCCAATCCACTAGTCACGGGCCTAGATTTCCTACGCCGCTCCCAGCCTGCCGCCGTGTTAGGCTCGTCTTCGCCGACTCTCGTTCCTAGGGCACCTTCCCCGAATCGCCATGATGTTACTCCTGTTTCATGGCCCGCTGTTAATGCTAGACGGGCTTTCAGCAGCACACCGCCCGTCTCCCCTAGTTCCTCTTCTCGGAATACACCAAAGCCTAGATCGCAAGCGGCGCCTAGCACTTCACGTGGTACTGCCGTGCCCCGTTTCCCCAAGGCAGGACGATATACCCAGAGCACACTGCGGATTGCTAAGGCAGGGGTTCCACACGTCCGCATCGTGGCACGCCCCACCACAGCGCCTAGAGTAGGTGCTTCATCAACTCCACCAGCAGCTCATCTGACAGGTGATCCTGGGCCTTCTAGGAGCACCATCCATGTCCCTGATCCAGACGCGCTAATGGAGAAGCTGCACGAACTGTCAAAGGAATATTGGCTGGACAAATTCAAGTGGCTGATTATCACGCAGAGAAAGGACGGGACTCCGTGCATGAAGTGCAGCATATGCATGGCTCACGGTCCTGCCCACTAGAAGTTCGGTAAACTTGGCGACGGTGGCGTTGATATCCAGCGGCAAACGATGCGGAAGCACGCGCTCAGCCAGAAGCATCAGGACGCCGTCAATGCCAAGCTTCGCGCAGAAGGCGGTAAGGTTGACCAACGGGGCATTGAGCAGTTCGAGAACGACGACAACGAGACGTCGCGGCTGAAACAACTGATGCTGGTCGTGCTATTTATCTGCAATTCCGATTCCCCCATCTCCCTTTATGTCGATCTTGTTCGCCTGTTGGCCGAGCTTCAGACGCCGCACATCCCGGACAAGGCCATAGGGACATACCAGTCAGCGTGAGTGATGATACGTTCTTGGTTTGTGTTTCTGGAATCACAACGACTAATACCACCTTGACTGTGACGTGCAGGTACGGCTTTCGTGAAATAACCGAAGCGATCGTCACCAACCTTAAGCAGCAGCAGATGCGCCACATCCAGGCGTCTCCGTTCCTAGGCATTCAACTCGACGAGAGTACCGACCGTCGCAGAGGCAAGCACATGATCGTCTATCTGAGCTTCATTCGCAACGCAGAGGTCGTCACCGAGCTGTTTGGGCACTTGACAGTCGAGAAGTGTGACGCGTCATCTCTGTTGACGGTACTTCTCGCCCATTTGGCCGTCACGGGCGTCGACATCATGAAATTGTCGGGCATTAGTACGGATGGCGCGAGCGTGATGCGGGGTTCACAGGCTGGAGTGGCGACACAGCTGAAACTGCGAGTCCCACACCTGGTGACGTGCCACTGCATCGCTCACAGGTCCGTTGTCAACATTTGTGTGTTGATTGTTTATGATTTTGTTGTCACACTTGTTGCAGTGTTCTAACCCTTTGTTTCCGCACACATGCAGGGAGGCTCTCGCCGCGAAGGATGCGACGGAGGCGGTGCCCGACCTCAACATGGTCGACACGGTCGTGCGGAGCGTCGCAGAGAACTTGGGAAGGAGCATCGTCTTGCACTCCCGGTTCATGGAACTCCAACACATTCTGCACGAGACGTCTCTGGAGGTGCAGGGGTTTAAAGATGTTCGATGGCTGGCGCGTGGCGACGCGATTCGGAGGCTTGTGACAGTCCTACCGGCGGCAATAGTGGTGTTGTGGGAGCACGAAAAAAAGGCATACGCGACAGTCACAAGCTTCAAGTTCCACTTTTTCCTGTTCTTCCTGGCAGATGTGCTGAAACTGCTCAATGAGCTGAACCTCAAGTTTCAACGGCGCACGGTGAGCACTTGTGAGGTCCGTGCTGATATTTATGCATACGAGCGGCTATGACTACTGCTTCTTGCCGTGTGCAGGTGGACATCACCCGGGTGGCATCAATGGTCCACAACACGTGCGACAAGCTGAAGCAACGATACATCGAGCACGGCGTCAACTACGCTGAGGATAGCGAGTTGCTGACAGAGTTTTTGGAGAAGCATGGACCATTGAACAAGCGGGAGGTGACTGTCGAAGGCATGGATGGGGAGGGAAGTCCCGTCACCCACACTTTCAAGCTGCACGAGGACGCCATCAAGGGTCAGAAGTCCAAGGGAGACATTGAATTGTGCATCACTGTAACCTCCCGTTTTGCGCAGGAAGTTATGAAGCACCTCCTGAAGCGGATGGAGAGCCTAGACACCCTCAGTGGAGCGAAGCTTTTTCTGCCTGACGCGTACCCCGAGGGTAGCGCGAAGAGAGACCGCCTCTGCGCAGCCTGGTTCCAGTCTCTCCGCGAGCTGTTCAGTGCGGAGAAGTGCGTACTTCCAGGTAGGTGTGTGTCTATGGAGTGCATCAATGTTACACACTCGATGTTATGTTCCCAAAGACTTACCTCCCCGTCGCCCCCCCCTCTTGTACTTGCTTCTGTGCGTGAGCAGGAGTGAGCTGGAAAAAGGCGGGACGGGAACTGGTGCCGTTCACCAAGATGATGGCATCGCAGTACAAGGACCAGACATTCCACGCCGGCCTCAAGCACATGTTACGTAGTGAAGACTGGGAGACGAGCTACCCCAACATGGTCCGCATCTGGATCGCTCTCGCCGTGCTGCCGTTGAGCACCGTCGAGTGCGAGCGCGGCTTCTCGAGGCAAAACATCATCAAATCCTGGCTCCGCGGTAATCTGTACAACACACGCCTGGCGGATTTGATGTCCGTGTCGCTCCTGCAGTATGAGCCGAACTGGGACGAGGTGGTGGCTGCTTGGAGGGGGGCAAAGAAGAGGCGCCCTGCTAAGGAAGTGACGACCAAGTGCACTCCAGAGAGAGCCCCTAAGCGGAAGGCCGAGAGAGGAACGTCAGCTGCTGCCTCCAATGAAGACGAAGATGATGAAGATGTGGTAAGGCGGAGGACCTCAAAGAAGGGCAAGGCATGTGCAGCTGTAGCCGTGTCGGACGACAGTGATGATGACGACAATGGGCTTGATGTCCGTGCCACAGTGGCGCTAGACTCTGATACTGAGTAGAGTAGAGTAGATGTAATGTAACACCTAGTTTGAAGTTTACTAATATACTCTTGTGAGGTGATAGTTCTTATACTGAACTTGTACAAGTGAGTGATTTCAGCAAATGCCAGTATGCTAAAAAAAAAATTTTGAAACAGAAATGCAAGTGCACCGTAGTCTGACACAACAGACAAAAATTCTGAAAATTCCTGATCAAACAGACAGGGAAGCACTCATCCTACTGATGAAGCATCAGGAACCCTTAGATCCTAGCGACGTCCCTGGCTATCCTACTGTTCCACATCCGAGATGGAAGCTGATTACTTGACCAAGAAACTCGGAAAACAGAAGTTCGAGTATTGCATGCTGCTGACTGGACAAGGACACGTCATCAGCAGCGATTCTCCAGAAGCCAAGGGGAGTGTTGGAAACAGGTGATTTAAACGCTTCTGTCGTATCGAAGCTTCGACACGAAACGGAGCTGACTACAGCGAAGAAACACTCGAGTCAACTAAGGCAACCGTCGGAGGTTACGCGAAGGTCAAAGGTCTCCGACCTTTGACTTGACAAAAAGTACAGTGCGACAGCAAGGACACATAACTGACTCGTTACTGAGCAGTTACCCGAGTCGGCACTGTATCGAACTGCAATAGCCGAACTTTTAATATTCCTTGTAATCATATAAAAGGCTTGTATTGTATCTCTTTGCTATTATTTAACTTATCTTGTTCTGACACACCAGTACAAGGTGGTTCAAGACAAACTCTTATTGAACGCTTCCGCAATTACATCTCTACGTCAACACCTGATCTTAGTCCTGAAAGATCCTAAGGGCTTTTCTCAGCCCAACAGATGATACCGATACAGATTTTATTGTTACAAAGGAGTTTCACCCCAAGAATGCATTGTGTTCTGTAGACAATGTCTTAGCAAAAACATTTGATGTTCTCTGTTGGGGATTTTATACCCACAGAATATCAGTGTAGCTTCTTCATTGGGAGGAGCAACGGCGTCGCTCGAAAGGGCAGGGAGAACCGGAACGCCGCAAAACGAGAACGCGTGAGTGGTCGAGCCCACGCGCCCGCAACCGCTGCTGCTGCTACCGTTGCTGCGGGTCGAGCTAACCGCGTTGGTAGTCGTGGCGCTGCTGCTTCCACTGCTGCTGGTGATGACGCTGCTGTGCGTAGAGCTCGGGGCAGGCGGTTGGCTTGCTGATAGCTGCAGGGATGCAGAGGCGGGTTGCGATGAAGTTACTAACGGCTGGGCCGTTGATAATACTAGGTGTTGGGATGCAGCAGCGGGTTGGGATAATGAAGAAAACGGTTGGCACGCTGTCACAGTGACCGCAGAGGGTGTATCATCGTCCAGGCAGAACGGCGACGCGAGTGGAAGGGATGGGAGTGACGGCAGGTGCAGCGGCGAGGAAAACGGATTGGCGCTCACAGCGGAGGCAAGCGGGGAGAGCAAGGAGCGGGGAAGAGCGCGCGCGCTTGGCAGCGCGCTGCACGGCTCGAGCGACAAAGGGGGGAGCGCGCTCAAAGGCGGGAGGTGACGAGAGGACGTAGGAGTGGAGAGCGGTGTGGGGAGAGGCGAGGAGAAACAGGACTCGGGCGCAATGACGTCCGCGCGAGCAACGTCGTCGTCCGCGCAGCCATTGCAGTCCCCGTAAGCAATGTCGTCCGCGCACGCAATGCCGTCCGCGCAACGGTTCGGAGCCGCGGAACTAGCATCCACCTCGCTACAAGGCGGCTCGTTCATGTCAAAGTCCGGTCTCTGAGGAGCGCCAGCACCAGCGCCAGCGCCATCGCGAGCACGGGAATTATCAATGTCCGCAGGAGTATTGGGCGCCTCGGCATTGAAGCCACTGGCAATACCGTCAACGTCAACGTTAACGTCAGCGTCAGCGGGAGTATGACTGTGTGGAGCCGACGCGTGCAGAGGCCGCGGACGAATGTTCCGATCATCTTCCGCGAGGAACGGCCGGAAGCGCTTGTACTTAATCTTGCCGAGGCGCAGGTGCGCCGCGGAGTTGGGATCCGTCAAGAGCCCCGACAGCGTCTCCTTGACCGCGCCGATCTTGCGCTTCCGCTTGTGGTTCGTGTGCGCCTGCTGCGCCGTTAGCGCGGACTTGCTGCTGCTCGCCGCTCCCGGGCGGTTGACTGCCCCCTCGAGCGCGCACAGCATGTGGTCCAGCTTACGGATCTGATGGGGGATAGGCGCGAGCGGAGAGGGGGGAGGAGAGAGGAGAGGAGAAGAAAGCATAGATCTGAATAGGCGAGGCGGAGAGAGTGACGCAAGCAGTGAATCTGGAATGGCAGATCCGTGTACTACTACGTTTCGTTTGAATGCAGGAGAGATTCGTGGATTAAAAAACGCACTGCCGCTCGTCACGCCGTACCTTGCGGAACGGCCATCGGGCGATGCCATGCTCGCGACACTGCTGCTTCAGCACCGTCACACACACGCCGAGCTGCACACGAGAATGGGGCGGGGAATAGGGGAACGACGAGGATGAGTGGAAGGCGGGATGGGAAAGGAGCGCGGAAGCGGGCGCGCGGAGAAGAACGGCAAGGGAGCGCGCAAGCGGCGGCCGCATTGAGCCAACCCGGGGCGATTATCGTTCTAGCCGAGGCGCGGGTCAAGAAAAGCAAAGGTCAAGTACCTTTCGGGCAGCTTCGCTGATGGGCAGGTGAAAGCTTTCCTTGAGCTCTTGGAGTGTGATTGGTCGCATGCGATGGTTCGCCGGAGTGACCGTTGGAGTCACGGCCAGAGGACTCCGTGGCGGCACTGCACCGCAATGTACTTTCCCGAGAGAGTTCTGAGACGTGTTTAAACAGGACGCCGCGCGTTTCGGCGTTGCGGGAGAGTTCTGCGGCGCTTCTGCGCGTGACGTGGCACGCCGGCTCGTCGGCGTCGCAGCGGACCAACCGACAGAAGCGTCGGGCTGACTCAGCGCCTGCTGACTCGATCCGGCTAGACCGAAAGAAGCGCCGCGGTCCGCGGGATCCGCATTCGTTATTACCGCGGCGGAAGCGCGCGTGGCGCGCTCTGCGAAGCCAATGGCGGTATCGGCGGGCCCGAGGCGGAGGAGAATCTCCTGCGCGAAGGGGGCGATGGGCTGACACATGACGCTGGCGGGCGAATCGACTCCGAGTCGCGTTGTCCAGTGATTCACAACGAACATTCACAGCAACTTGACGCGCCTGCGTGGATTTCTCGTCAGGGGATTCGAGGTCCTCTTGGCAAAGAGGCGTTTTCGACGCTGAGTCAGTGGTTGCGCGGTTTTTCAGTCTCGACGTTCGAGAATCTCTGAGCTTCTTCTTTCGACCATAGAATCGGCGGAAGTATCCCAGGGCTCCTGCGTCACCTGAGTGAGTGTTTCGGTCATGAATGTGCGGCAAGCACCGTGTGTTTCCTGAATCTCACTCACTAGACTGAGGCTTTTGAGCCTTAGAAAATGGGAGTTGCAGTTCAGCTTGCGCTGCGAGAAGCGAGAGGGCTTAGTTGGCTGCTCGCCTCGGAATGAGGAGGACACGTCACTCCTTTTCTGGTCGGAAGACCCGCCAGTTCTAGCAGGCTTTCAAGACAACATTCGTAACGCGCGGGAAGGCTGTGCTTGCTCTGTAGCGTGAATAGCAAGGCTATGTTTATCCTCCTGTGTGTGTACAGGTTTACGGAGCATGGATAAAATGCAATCATGGCGGTCTGGATGGAATTCGAAGAGGGGCCGGAAATTTTCTGCGCGCGGTCGGAAAGGGAAACTTGCGCCCCTTTTTTTCTGAACGAAAGCGCAATGTGGAGCTGGTTTCCGCAAGATATTTGTTTTTGCGTTCGGGCGCTGGGCGCTGAGGTGTGCTGTAGAGCTGTACACTGGGTCCGTGCTTCGCTACACGGGCAGCAATGACAGGAGGGGGCAAAAGCTGTCAAACACTGTAGTTCGCGCAAGGGAGGTAAGAGAGGCACTGGGTTTGGAGAAAAAGCGTTGGTTGATATTTTAACACGTCAGCGACCATTTGCTGATGAGGTTCACCCTAGCAAGCCTCGAGGTACGGGGAGCACTTGAAGAAATGACGAAAAGGTCGGCGTTCAGCGGATGATTGGCTGCTCTTGAAGCACGGACCACCAAGAGTTTCCTCCATACCTCAACCTCCTCCGAACCCACAACACCGAGCTAGGACGTCTCTTGGGGCGACAAGCGAAAGGAAGTCGAATGGGGCAACGTTCTGAAATCATAAGTTACCTTGCGAACTTGGTCTGCTACGCCCTTGTATATTCACCACTTCATGGCTGCTGACTTTTTACTGCAAAAAGGAGGATCCGAAATCATCAGCAAACGTTTGCTGCTGAATTTGACACATTTAGGATTATGGAAGAATACCTTTTGAGTCTCTTTCGTGGGAACCTTTTGTGTACACACAGGTTTCCAACGAAACTCTCCTATCCCAAAGATACTGTTGTCGGTAACTTGCACAGTAGGTATGGGATGGACCATGTGTGCCTTGTGGGCCTTGTGACTTGTCCATCGTTTTGGGCGCGAAACGACGTTCTGGCAATGGCGAATCGAGAACTCATTCACCTGCCCCTCCGTTCTGCTGCACCCCTCTCCAATTCACACCTGCCAATGAGAAGAAAAAGCAGGCGCCAGCAGAGCGCGGGATAGGCAAAAAAGGCACAGCATGGAGGAATATCCGAGTACCTTTTTTATCGATGCCCAGCTGGCAAGCAGTTTTACTGCCCATGTTTCTAGAATGTTGACGAAGCTTCTAGAAGGTCGTGGATGCATGTAGCCTGCAATTTCAGAAATTTTTAATGCAGTGCACAGAAAGCCTTCCAGTTGCTTTGGAAATATCTTAATTCTGACCAGAAATCCGAGCCACGTCGACATCGCTCGCCGATATTACTAGCTTCACGAATCACGCATGCATTCAATCTATTCATCGATTGGTTGAGCGATGGGTGGACAGGGAGACGGTCAAGGTACAGTTTTTCCAAAATGTCACCTTATCTGCCAGCAGTGCATGGAGACATCCACGGCACAGTGCTGGTCGGGCTCAACTTGAACAAGGCATGTGATGCCTGCTGAGGAGACGTGTGGAGCTGGATCTCAATTGATCGTGTTTTCAATTGGCTGATATCGCACGGATTTGGGCTGACCAGAACGTGGACTGTAAACCTCGTCGTAACAGTAATCACACACTAAATATCTAAATCCGGTTACGACCGACGGTGTTTTTGCGTTGTATAATGCATTTTCACCTACCAAAAAAAATATCTAAATATGTAAGTTCGGTAAGCCCCACCTTGCCACTGATCACACTTTCTATTTCAAATGCTTCTTACAGATACCGGTGATTAACTATGGATGCCCTTCACCATAGTGACCCAAGGGGACAACACGATAAACTGTGTTTCAAGCTACGGTACATTAAACAAGATACCAGACAACAATCGAGAAAAACTTTTGTTTACTCTTAAGGCTGCTACATGCATGCCAGCTTTCGGCATGCCACCCGATCACAACAAGGATCTACTCAAAAACTCGTAAATCCTCTCCTCCATATATGTCCGATCACGGAGCCCCCTCGGCATGTGCCTTTCCTCGGGAAAAAGCAGCAGCTCATACTGCTTGGCAGCAGTAGTCAGCGCCTGCACCAGCCGCACCGAGTGCCTGAAATGCACATTCTCGTCTATCATCCCATGCACCAGCAGCAGCTTCCCCCGAATTCCACCCACGTGCCGCATAACAGAGCTCCGGTCATACGCGGTGGGCTGCTCCGCAGGCAGACCCATGTAACGCTCCGTGTAGTGCGTGTCGTAACCGTCCCATGCGGTTACCGGAGCTCCAGAAATGGCGCAGCAAAACAGGCTCGGGTACCGAGCCAAGCACATGGCTGAGATGTACCCCCCGTAGCTCCACCCGTAGATCCCGATCCGGTTTGGGTCGGCAAGGCCCTGCTGGATAAGCCAACGGACGCCGGCCGCTTGGTCGTCAGCATCTATGCCGCCCATGTTGCACTTAATGGCTCCCTCAAAGGCCAGCCCGCGTCGACTGCTGCCCCGGTTGTCCAGCTGGCGAGAAGACGAAGGTTAGGTTGAGGTTAGAGGTACAAGGGGAAGAGGGAGGAATAGAAATATGCGAACTTGGATGCCTCTCGGACTACCCTGATGAGGACTGATGGGACAATCCTGCCTTGAGAACAGGGTTCTGAGTTTTGGTTTTATTCTTGGAAAGCCGCCCTGTCTGTGTGCCTGTATGTTTGTCTCTGTTCATGTGCCTGTGTGAGTGTTTCTCTGTCCCCTCTGCCTCATGCTCACCTTCCCAGCATCCCTTTAGCACGCAGGAACTGAGCTCGCATGTCCCACCGTGAACAGCCACGACTCACACACCTTCTGCACGTGTGCTGGTCTATCCCTGTCTGTGCATGGGGTGTCTGAGTGTCTGTGTGCCTAACTTTCTAACAGTCGGCCTGTCTGTGTGTGTGTGGCCCTGCGTGTATTCTCATCACCTTCCACACCAGCATCCCTCGAGCGCGCAGGAACTGAGCTCGCATGTCCACCGTGGATAGCCACGATTCACACACCGTCTGCACGTGTGCTGGCCTGTCCGTGTCTGTGTGCTTTTAGTGTCTGACAGTCGGCCTGTCTGTGTCTATCTGTGTGTGGGTGTGTGTGGCCCCCCTGTGCCTATTGTTCTCACCTTCCACACCAGCATGCCTCGAGCGCGCAGGAACTGAGCTCGCATGTCCACCGTGGATAGCCACAACTGGGACACTGTGTCTATGACCCTTCCGTGTCGGAACTGAGCTCGCATGTCCACTGCTGTCGACAGCCACGACTCACACACCATCTGCACGCGTGCAGATGGGTCCTGTGTGTCTAACAGTCGGCTCTGTCTGTGTGTATCTGTCTGTGTGTTCACGCTCACCTTCCACACCAGCATGCCTCGAGCGCGCAGGAACTGAGCTCGCATGTCCACCGTGGATAGCCACAACTGGGACACTGTGTCTATGACCCTTCCGTGTCGGAACTGAGCTCGCATGTCCACTGTCGACAGCCACGACTCACACACCATCTGCACGCGTGCAGATGGGTCCTGTGTGTCTAACAGTTGGCTCTGTCTGTGTGTATCTGTCTGTGTGTTCACGCTCACCTTCCACACCAGCATGCCTCGAGCGCGCAGGAACTGAGCTCGCATGTCCACCGTTGACAGCCACGACTCGCATACTGTCTGCACGTGTGGGCCCCCGTACACGCTCACCACCGTGCGGTAGGGGGGTGGGCCAAATATGGCCGGGTCAGGGCTGCAAAGGGAAGGAAAGGAGAGGGGAGGGAGGGAGAGTGGGGATGGGAGAGAGGAGATAAGGTGACATTCACACCATCTGCACGTGTGCCCCCCCGTACAGTCACCACCGTGCGGAAGGGAGGCAGACCAGATATAGCCGGATCAGGAATGCAAGGGGGGAGAGAGAGGGTCGGGGTGGGGAGCGAGAGAGGGGTAGGAGAATTGGTGGGAGAGAGAACATGAGCTGAATCACACACTGTTTGCACGTGTGGGCCCCCGTACACACTAGGGTGGACCAAAGGATGGCCGGATCAGGGGTGGAAAGTTGGGGATAGTACAAAGGGGTTGCGGGAGAAGGTGGGAGAGAGTGGATAAGGTGCCATACACGCCGTGTGCACGGAGCCAGCAAGAGCCAGGCAGCACACTCACCGGAAGATAGCCCGGTGCAGGGTGGTCCCATAGGCAGCAGTCACCTCTACTAGTTCGGGAGGTCTGAGCTGCAGCCGCTGCACGGGAGGGTTGGGCGAGAGCTGCTGGAATATCACCGCTAGCACTCGCCCCAAGGGAGGGGAGCCAGGTGGCTGTACTCGCCCCAAGGAGTGTCCAAAGACGGTACTCACCGGTAGATAGCCCCGTGAAGTGTGGTGCCGTCAGCAGCAGTGACCTCTACCAGCTCCGGAGGCCTGAGTTGCAGGCGCTGCACGCGGGGGTTGGGCGAGTGCTGCTGGAATATCACCGCTAGCACTCGCCCCGACGCCAGGCAGCAGAGGCGCACAGCGGGCGGCGAGTCAAGCGAGTCAACGAGGTCAACGAAGCGCTGCAGGCTGTGGTCCAGGACTACCAGGTGCCGCCCGGGCCCCTGGGTCAGCCGGATGGGGCGGGCGGGCGGCAGAGAGGAGGAGAGGGCGGCGAGGGAGGAGGGAGGTGGGTGTAGTGATGCTGCTGCTGCGGGTGCTGCTGCTGTTGCTAGTGATGGCGGTGATGGGTTTGAACCAGGTCGACCTGGTGAAGCTACTCCTGCTGCTGTTCCTGTTGCTGCTGCTGCTGCTGCTGCTGCTGCTGCTGCTGCTGCTGCTGCTGCTGCTGCTGCTGCTGCTGCTGCTGCTGCTGCTGCTGCTGCTGGGGATGATGATGCGGTGGGCTGCACCGAATCTAACACCATCGGCACCACCTGTTGCTGCTGCTGCTGCTGCTGCTGCTGCTGCAACTGCAACTGCTCATAACGAGAAAACGCATCACGCTTGTCTGTCCCCAACGCAGACACCAAACCAGCATCCCCTCCCCTCTCCACGCCCCCAAACAACCTCGTCACATACAAATGACTCTCCAACGCACTATCCATGGTCCCTGTAAAATACACCACCCCAGCGCCCTCATCCAGCCCAGCTACCTGCTCCACCATCCACTCCCCCGCAGTCACCGCCCCCACGCACCGCCCCGACCCCGCATACAAATACAAGTGCCGAAACCCCGTGCGCTCACTCGCCCACAGAAACCCCCCGCGCAACTCCCCTCCGGACTTCACCAGGGGGGTGAAGCAGTCGTGCAGGTTCACCCAGAGGGGGTTGGATTCCGTGAGAACGAGGTCCCTGCTGCCTGTGGTGGGGTCGAAGCGGAGGAGTTTGAGCCGCGTCTGCCTGCGGTTCTGCACCTGCGCGGACAGACGCCCGTCTGGGAGCCATGACACGCGTGCTAGGTACTCCTCATCGTCATCATCGTCTGCAGAATCAGTAGCAGCAGCTGTAGCAGCAGTGCCAGCTGTGGCAGCTGTACCATTGCCATTGCCATCACTGCCAGCAACAGTACCAAACCCACTCGATTCTTTCTCCGCCAGTGCTGGTTCCAGCCCGTCCCTTCCAGGTATGCATGAAGCTAGGGACCCTGCGTCACCGTCGTGTGCACTACCTGCTGCTACTCCTTGCTGCAACACCCCTCTGTTTCCTGCATCCTGTTTTGCTGCTACTCCTCCTCCCATCCCTTCACCATCACCATTCCCATTGCCACTGCCATTCCCAGCACCGGCATCAGCGTTTCTACCTTCTCTGCTGCTGCTGTTGCTTCTGCTGCTGCTTTTTGTTTTACCGAAGCTACTGCCTGCCAAGCCGCAATGCAGATCCATCCACCGAACCTCGCCTCCGGCCACGGGAACAACCCCAAGCCTCACGCTCACGTTCGCCTGGCCTGGAAAAGGGGGGACAGAAGGGACGAGGACGCTTAGCCGGCGCACAGGAAGAAAGAGGCTGACGACAGGAATTCAATACCAGCCTCTCACTTCAAAAATCCCTTGTCTGGCACAACCTACGCCCGCGAACCAAATCTGGGACTCCAAACCGACACCCAACCCGTGCCGGCAAAGGAGTGCAAGTCTTCCTCCTCAGAATCCACCGGCATAGGCGGGCACATGCAGTAGGGGATGCGGAAGAGCCTAGCCTATCACAGAAGAATCTCTGCAACTCCTAGAAGAGCTACTCAGTATGAAGTACCTGCGAAGGGGTATGCATGCTCCTCCTCCGAGTCCGCCCCAACAGGCGGGCGAGTGCAGTGGGGGATGCGGAAGAGGGGCACAGCAGAGGCGTCTGTCTGGGTGAAGGCAATGCGTGTGCTGTCATGCGCCCACCAGAAGCCACTGCGCCGCTCCATCTCCTCCTGAGAAACGGGCAAGAGGGGGATGGGAGGGGGCAGAAGAGGGACGAGGGCCTGAGCAGGGAGGCGGACGAAAGGTTGAAGGCGATGCGAGAGCTATCGTGCGACCACCAGAAGCCACTATGCCGCTCCATCTCCTCCTGGAGGAAAGCACGATGAGGGGCACGGGTGGGGCCGGAAGGGGCAGAGGGCCTGAGCAGGGTGGCGTGCGAAAGGGTGAAGGGAATAGCGAGCTGTCATGCGACCACCAGAAGCCACTGCGTCGCTCCATCTCCTCCTGCCCTCGCCAAACCAGAAAGGGGGAGGATGGGAATGAGAGGGAGAGAGGAGAAGAGGGGCAGCGCAGGAGAGAGAGGGAGAAGGGGAAACGAGGGAAGATGGAAGAGTTTTCAAGGCATGGGATGAGATAGAACTTATGAGCATCACGTAATTGGAAACAAGGTGGATGAGTGAACTTACAAGCGACGAACCCAGAGTCCGGCGTTTGGTACACGAATAAGCATAAGGGAGGGTGCTTTTGAGAAGGATATAATGGTGGGGGCGTGGTTGGGCCAGGGTTAAAGGGGACAGTGGATAACGGCGACGGTGAAAGGGCCGCTTACCTGTGCAATGTATTCTGCCAAGCCGTGCACCTGCCATCGCCATAGCACCATGCACGCATTGGGTGCACACACACATGCATGGGGACGCACACATGCACGCATGGGGGTGCACATACGCACGCACAAGTCCAAGCACAACCATTTAGAACAAGATACACAGGGAAAAAGAGAAACGATAGATGAAGCGCATAATGACACGTCATGCCTTGAGTCTCTCGGAAGGACACTGCAAGCACATGGGAATGAGGCAGCGAGAAAAACAGCAAAACATTGGTCCAGGGGAGAGAGATTAGAGGACGGCTGACCCAACTTTAGACAAGTCCCGCCTTGCTGCCCTCTTCCACGCCAAATTTGAGCTGCTGGGGGGTGGCGGCGTGGTGAAGACGACAAAGAGCTCGCCTGTGCTTCCGTGCATCAAGCCATAACGCTACTCTACCACCCCAATACGCGTTCAACCTTGCATGCAGTTCGTACCTTGTTAGCCTCCTTCGCGCCGAAGGTGAGCTGGCGGGGCGCACCCGCGGTGGTGGAGACGACAAAGAGCTCGTATGTGCTTCCGTGTGCTGAGTCCTCACTCCACGCAACCACCCCAGTATTCCCCCAACCGCTCTACACTAGCGCTCAAACCCCAGCACTCAGCCGCACCTTGTTAGCCTCCTTCGCGCCGAAGGTGAGCTGGCGGGGCGCACCCGCGGTGGTGGAGACGACGAAGAGCTCGTCGTCGCGCACGAAGGCGATGGCGGAGCCGTCGGGGGAGATCTGCGGGTCCAGGATGGGGGACGCTCCGCCGGGGATGCGCAGGCGCAGATCCGCGCCCATGCCGTCCTGCACGTACACCTGCGGGGGGGAGAAAGGGGAGGGGGCGGAGGGGAAAGGGTGGTAAGGAATGGAGACGCGCAGATCTTGCGGAATGCACAGGCGCAGATCCGCGCCCATGCCGTCCTGCACGTACACCTGCGGGGGGCGCGGGGAGAGGGGTGGGGCGTAGGGGAAAGAGTGGTCAAGAATGGGGGATGCGCAGAATGCGCGGAATGCGCAGAACGCGCGGAATGCGCAGAATGCGCGGAATGCGCAGGCGCAGATTCTCGCCCGTACATGTGCGGAGGCTACGCGAAAGGGGAAAGGTGAGCGGAAAGAAGCAACGGGTAGATTAGAGCATGGGGAAGGGGGCGGGAGGGTGGAGGGAGGGGGGGGGGATGGGGGCTGCAGAGTGAGCGGAGAGGAAATAGTAAAATAGTTCGTCGGAATATCCGCGTTATAAAGTGAAGAAGAAAGAACTCAGTTTTCCTTAACCACAGGGAAGTTGGGGGGGTTGTAAGGTGGTTGGGGTGTGGGGATGGGGGGGGGGGGAGAAGGGTGAGGGATACGGGGGTATCAGAAACCGGTTTGTAAGGGAAAAATCGTGACAAATTGCAGCGGTGGCAACGGTAGGAGCGGGCCAATAAACTCACGCCATCTGGCAGCGGTATCATGATCCGCGGAACCGCCACGTTCTTGGACCAATCGTAGCGCGTGATTCCCAAGCCGCGCTCCCGCTGCCTCTCGCGCCTTAATTTCTCTTCCATGGAGAGATTATCCTCGTCGACTCCGCCGCCCGGCGGAGCCACTAATAGCTTCTGCTGACCCGTCTTTAACTCGTACGCGAATAGTTTCCTGGTGAGGGTACCCTCTTCGCTAAATAGGTACGAGATCATCTGATCGTCGGGACTGAACGCGATCGCGGACGGGGACACGTAACCGGGTAACGGATGCTGCACAATGTCGTCGACGGGGAAGTTTCGCGAGAGTTCGTCTTTGTCGCCCGGCAAACCAATGCCTCGGTTCTGCTGGTGCGGTGAAGCATGCTGAGCGTGAGAATGGGGATTTTGGTGATTTGTAGCGGGGTGGGGTTCGGTTCCAGGGGCGGGGGGACCGCCCCTGGTTGGGGTTGACATTCCCGAACCCAGATGTTTCGCTGTATCGGAAATGCTTATATCGGACACCTCGTTAGCGAAGATAGAATGAGCAGGCGGGTGGGAAACAGGAATGCCGGCGATTAGGGTTTCTGAAGCCGCTGCTGCTGCTGCTACTGATGATGCTCCTGCCGGTTCGGTGCGCTGTCGCTTCGGGCTCTCCTCCCTCAAGTCGCTAGGGTTTCGATGAGAGGAGCTTTGCATTACCTAGTATCAGCCGAGAGTGCGGTAAAGGCATAAGGCTGCGGAGTGGGAATAGCGAGCCGGCAATTACTGCGGTGTCCGAGGAGCATACGGTGCAAAATGGCGGTTGTTAGAAAATCTTAAAATTCTCTGAGCGATTGCAAAGAGGAGGCAGAATAAGTGACCCACGCTCGATTTGACGCGCGTCAATCGCTTAGGAGGTTAAAGTGGATGAAGCAACTGCACGGACCAAGCTAGCCTCATAAGACTCAACCTAGGACATTGGCGGGATGTAAGCACCTAGCCAACTAACAGAAAGAAACTTTACGAGGCGCGCAAGAGAGGGGGAACGAGAATAAAGCCAATGCGAGGCCAACGTTGAGAGAAAGGTCAACTAGACTTGGCGATCTGACCACGAAAAGTCATGGTCATAGCGGGAACGGTCATTGGTCACTAGAAGATAGAAACGAGCGAGCTGAAATGTGAGAGGGTGGAGGGAAAAATGGAGATAAGCCGAAGGCAGGTGGCCTTGGGAATGCCGAAAGACCGTGTCTTATATCGAGTGGTCGTCGCAACTCCTACATGGAATACTGAAATTGTGTGATTCAGTTACGAAGGTGCATGTACTTCATCCTCCCAAAAAACATTGCCCGACTTCAATTTTAGGTGGTTGAAGTTTGATTACTACTAAAAGAATTGCCCTGAAAATGAAGACGTCTGACTATAATCTGGGCAACGCAACCCCATCCTGGACCCTTGAGAGATTATAACCCGTTTCAAGGAAGGCACGCATGGGTCGAAAGCCAGAGGAGGCAGAAAGGAAAACCCCGGGTCAACACACCCATAACCTAAACCAGCGAGGCTTGCGAAACCCTACATTACTACACAACAATATGTAAGAACTGGTCTAAAACTCGGAACTACCATACATGTCTAATCTATTAGTATTTAATACGAACCTGTTATTTAGGAGATGAATCAGAAGTGGATGGTGATTCAGCAGGGAACGTGGACAGGAATCCCGTCTGCAGGCAGTATTCAAGCGCAGTAGCAGTGAGGGCCAGCACCAGCACCCCCTCCCCTGCCTCCAGCAGCGATAACACCACCGGCACCAAGGCACCATCCGTCACACTACCCATGATATTATCCGTGAGGCCATTATTTGCCGACCCCGCGCTCACAAGAGAGAATGTGGAGTCCACTTGAGCCAGTCCTCTCCCCAGCCCGAACACACCCACCGCTCCGGCTTTAAGGTGAATGTTTCCCACATCCTTCCGAACTATGTACCTGTAGGTTACACCGAACAGAGCACATGTTGCAGCTAGCGCCGCTGCTGCCACCAGGAAACTCAATCCGGTCCCTCCTTCCTGTGCTCGCTGACTCAGCAGGAACGGCAGGCCTGCTACAGTGCCAGCTACAGCTGCTACTGTAGCCGCCTTGGCTGATTGCACTCGTTCTTTGTCGTCATCGATCGTGCCGGTGCTCGCCGCCCATTTTCCTGCTGTTTGTTCTCCCGAGCCTGCACTGCTGATTCGGAAGCCGCCACCTGCCCGAGCCTCGATGAGAGCTGCTCCGGCAGCCCTGGCTGCCTGCTCTGCTGCTGCCACCTCAGCTTCGAGCTTCTCCACCTGATGGGTCCAATGGGACAGGGAGGGTGGAGTCCAGATAGTGAGCTAGAGCTAGCCTCAACAAAATAGTCTCAAGATGTTACGGCTTTGAGCCTCGCTAAAAGCTCCCTTCCTTCGTTCTTGAAGGTAGGAGAGGAGCAAGGGAAGGTTGCCGTAACTGCTGCTACTGCAGCTTGACATGCTGGGGGGGATGAAAGAGGGCAAAGCATGGGGAGAAACGCGGATGGCTTTAGGATTGGGTGGGATGAGAATGACAGAAGGATGGGGGGAATGGGAGGGGAAGGACTGAAAGCGGAGGCAGGCAAGACAATAAGGGTGTGGGGATGGTTCAGCGGGTAGTGTGGGGGATAGTGTGGTGGGATGTAGGGGGGCCATGCAGGGTCTGCAGGGGGAGACCCTGGATTGGGATTTAGAGTTCTCTGATCGCCTGCAAGGGGCAAACCTCGGTTTCGGCGTTGTCTCATCGCCTTTCCAGCGTGAAATCAATGAGCAGGTTGTGGACTCAAGGGCGGGTTTTAGCCCTCTAGAGATTCGTTAATAGGGCGCTTGTTTATTCCTTCCCCCACCCCCACCCCCGCTCCCCCTCAATTTTCGCTCATGCCCCCTGATTCCCACTTTTCGCCGGTTCTAATATCTTCCGCTTACCTGCGCGTCCGCCTGCGCAAGTTCCGCCTCCATCAGCGCCGCGGCTTCCAGTTCCGCCTTGAGCGCGAGCAGCTCCTTCTCCATCAGTTCTCCCTTATCCATGTCACCATTCAGGCATGCGCAGTCCTCAATCTTTTCCACCCACCCCCTCCCCCTCTTCCCCCATTCTTCCCCGCGCGCTGCTATCCCTCACCTGCGCGTCCGCCTGTGCGAGTTCCGCTTCCATCAGCGCGGCGGCTTCCAGCTCCGCCTTGAGCGCGAGCAGCTCCTTCTCCTTCTTCTCCATCTCCTCGTACGACGCGCGCGCGCGGGAAACGCGGAGCGCCGCCGACTCGAGGTCCGCCCAGAGCGCCTTCGACTCCTCGCCGCTCAACGCGCGATCCAGCTCTGCCATTATCGCATCGCGCCCCTCAGGAGACGCCGCAAATGACGCTGCGGGAGGCGGTGCCACGGGTTCTGTGTTGGGCTGTTGTTCTTGGGTTTTCTCTTTTTTATCCTTGTCGTTCTCTGCGTTGCTCGCTGGCGATTGAGCGGAGCAGAAAACGAGGCGACGCCGCGTGTTCAACTCTCGTCGTACCCATTCGGCCGCATTAGCGACAGATGCTCGACACGGCGTGCGACAGGATGCGACGAGGTGAGAGCTGACGGGAGCAAGAAGCGACGCCGCCATAAGCCGAATCAGCGTGCGAGGATACGACGTGAGAGCCGAGGGAAAGCAAGAGAGAAATGGCAATACAGGTCAAACTTATAAATTCGCTTTGTCAAGAGATTGAAATGGGAATCCAGGAATTAGATTGGGTTTGGTTTGCCGAAAATGTCGAGGCTGACCTGGCTAACCACGGGTCATCTCGCTGTCTGAAGTGGCACGTCGAGGTTGGTTCCGGTAGGGTTAGAAACACGCGTCGTGTGTATGTGGCATTATGTGCCGCAAATATTCGGGTTTTAAAGGGCCGCGTTTGTATGAAGCTGCCGTAATGTGAGAATCGATGTACTCATAAATCACTGTACTCAGTCACCAGCCAAACCTTGAAACTTTCAAATGCAGGGACATGGAGAAATATCCAAATTCTAGAACCATCCTGAACCGGCCCAGACCAGATCTTGGATACTTGGAAGAAAACTCAGCCAAATCTCCCGCCTTTCGCGGGTGCAAACGCAGAAGCTCCATTTATGTAGTTGCCACGGATTGCGGAAAGGTATCGGATTAGTCGCAGCATCCCTCACACTGAAACACTTCACTTTCTGTCAGTTCGGTTGTCATTGCTCGATTAATCGCTTTACCTCCGCAGTTGACGGCTAGTCGCTTCCACTAGCATACCGTCTGCACTCGCGACACCTGTCGGCCATTTCGGCTTTCAATATCAGAGCTCTTCTCTCTAGCACTCTTCGACATTACCGTCCCGTCAAGTCATTTATGACATCACCGACATCCTCGGGTAACAACTTAAGGGTTACATCTTTCGCAGCAGACTAGACATTCCCGCGCGACAGTCTGATCGGCCATCCGCCGTTCCCTCGCGGTGACTTTTGAGTTTACTTTAAAAAGTCACTTGTCGAACCTGCGCGCCGGACTCCACCAATCCGCCTTCCCTCATTCGCCGTCGCGCCATGGTGATGGGAGGAACGTCTATCTTTAACGTCATCTGCGCGTCCTTCTTCCTCCTCTCCACCGCAGTCTCCTGCGCCGGCACTCTCGCTGGGAGCGGCGCGTGCGACGAGTTGTTCACGTTGCCGCCCGTGAAGCGAGTTAAAGCCATGCTGTGCCCGCCGCGCACTGACACTATGGTCAGGAAATAAGTTGTTACGAGTTCATAAAAATGGCCATGGTTGGAAGCGCATGATTATGGAAGGGGCATAATAATAGAAGGCAATCATCCTTGGCCGGCAAGAGTGGTTCGAAAGAAGAACGTGTTTGTACACAATTTTTTGGCAGCTAATATCGATTGATTAGTGTGACAAAAGATGTGTTGGCAGGCAAGATGAGAGTGATATACGGATGTACACATTTAGGGAAATAAATATGCACGTAGTTAGCAATTTGTGCAAATGTATGCATAGTCACTAGTCTATACTGACGTGTGCTGTGTCCTGTGAACTACCGTATGTCACGTGAAATGCACCTACTGGTCTCATCCCCACTTCAGAACACACTATGTATGGGACAATCCCATCCCCCTAGCATCATCTCACCCAAATTCGAGGCACCTTTGTAGTCATCACTTGACCCCTCAGAAGACTCAGATTCAAATCATCCGCAGCTGTCTGAACGAGCCCTGCTGCCTGCCC